GGTAGACAGCACCATGTGTGATGGAGTAAATTGAGCTAGTGTTTAGGATAACATATTTTCTCCAGGTATTCATCTCATGAATTTTAAGTTTAGTATCTCAGGACAAACTAGGGAACTATTCTTTACTCCGATTCAAAAGAGAATATAACAACTTCCAATAAAGGAAAAAAGATGGCAGATCCTGGAAGTTAGCTGTTGAATAGATTAATGAGTCAAATGTAAGATAAAATAAACAAATGTAAAAAATGTTATTCTGACCCCTAAAACCAGTTTCTTCTGAGAAATAGCAGAAATAAAAATAAACCTTGGTACATTTTTGTAGCTTTCTACTCAAAGAATATTAGAATTTTAGAAAACTATTAAAGGTCTATCATTGATTGTGTTTTCCCCCTAGAAGGCAGGTTCTATGAGAACAGCAAGGTGTCCACGTTACTCACACTGTACCATAGAGCCTAGTAGTAGCTGAATTTAGGAGACTCTCAATTCGATGGATAAACAATGAATGAATGAATGAATGAATGAATGAGTAGATGGGTCAATGCTATTGTGCTGAGCTATTTATTTAAAAATCTGCTACTGTTTTATCCCTGATGCAGTTTCATCTTTCGTCGAGGTAAAATTAAATATTCATGTAATTATTTTCGATGCAGAATGGCATGTTGAGAAGATTTTTCTAATGTCTTTAAAGGTCACATGAAAAAAGACCTTTATTGTTTGTTCCCCATTGCACAACAGATCATCACTACCATCTGTTGACAGTTATTTGAGTTGCAAGAAAGTCGATAGTGAGTATGGCTCATCAATTCAACTTATTATGATAATGGTAACTATAACACATCACCACCACTGAATGATTTATGTAATGGGTATTTATACATGCAAGGGGTAAAAAATAATTTTCTTATATAAGAAAGGACCTTATTTATCTGAGACTTTGATACAACTTTGTCCTATACAGTGATCTGAAATAAATAGGATTTTTAAATGAGCAGGAACTCAAAATTATTTCACTAGGAGATCAAAGTCCTTTTATAGATTTTTCACAAGAATATTTTTGAAGGCTAGCACAGATTTTTCCCTAAGTTTGAGCAAGGTAGGGATTATGCCTTAGTTATCTTTGATTTCCCTCAGCAGCTATTACAGTCAAAATATGCTGTGAAACTTAAGCTTCGGGTCCCTTACTTGCATGGGCGTCTGTCAAGGCCCTGTGCCTAAATCTGAATATGTAAATTTTCTTCTTTATAGTGGACTCCTCAAATTATATAAGCTTCAGGTCTCACAAAGCTTGAATCTACCCTTGATTACAGTGCATTATACCCAGTAGGTGCTGCATAAATGCTTGCTGAATTAAATCGAAGTTCTTGAGTAATGTGCTTTATAATTTTTATGCTTTAAAAATGTACATAGTATGATTCACTTTAATATTAGAGCTCCCTCACTAACTCAGTGAGGAGGTAGTCAATAGACATTACTTTAAGTTTAATAAATAACTTGAATTTATTAAAATATTTAGTATCAACACCATAAGCCACTTGAGGAGCATTTTTTTGTGTATTCACAAGCGCTATTTTATTCATGGATCTTTCCATTGTACAAACATTGTGTTATTTTATGTCCCTATGCATTCACACATACTCATGTTTGCTTTTAAAAATATGTTCTTTTTTTCTCAGTATTTGATTCACTTACACCTTGAATTCTTTGATCTGAATATCAACTGCTTTGACTATTATATCATTGGTAATAATCTAGATAAGCTCACAATTAATCAAAAAACTCTGACACTGTGTTCCAAAATAGAAAAGGATTTTCTTTCATATTGAAAATTATCTCGGCCACCTTTTGAAAATTATCTATTGAATTCTCCCCCTACTCTTTATGGAGGACTTCACGATTAACATTGTCTTTTATTTAAAAAGTAAATAGAAAAGACAATGAGAGGTCAAGCATCTGGTGATAGGGTATTTACATATGTTAATCAAAATAGAGATCATTTGTTTCCATTTTAATATCTAATACTTTGACTTGTCAATATCTACAAAGGATCCTTGAAAAAAGCAGGACTTGAACATTTTACATGAATATAAGCAATGCTACATTAGGTCAGAAATGTTTTCTATCAGTGGCACTAAGCAGCCAACACAAAGATTACTGTTCATTACAACTTGACATCAAATGCTTAGGATTTTATTTATATATATATATAAATACACATATATATGTGTATATATATATGTGTATATATATATAAATACACATATATATGTATATATATAAGTATCATAAAATCTGATCATATCTTTTTTTAGCTTGACCTTAACATATCTTTCAGAATATGTGGATAAAATTAATATGTATATATATATTAGAGAAAGAATATGAATTCATAAATTTATTGAAACTTTGTTGAATCTGATATTAGTCCAAATAACATCTTTCATGATTTCAATGACTTCTGAAATATAATAGTTATTTCTATTATTTAACCATATTTTAAGCACCAAAGCATTTAACTTAGAACTCAAATCAAGGATTCAGCAAAAAAAATCCACGTGCATTTTATTCATAATTTGTCACAAAGGAGTTTATTTAGCTGCTTCCTGTGAGGAACATCGTCATCCTCATCACAGCAACTGCCCTTCTATGAGCTCCTCACGGCTCTCTTACCTCCGCTGACACATTTCGCTTGGAATATAACGAAAACAAATTTTAGAAGCACATCTTCTGTTCATTTTTTTTCTCTAGCTTGGAAGGAGTGAAAGCATAAGTGGATGAAAAATGTATATTTACATTTGCAAACCAAATAACCGCTTGCCATTTCCTATGAAGTGTTAAATGAATATTAACAGAAAGATTGTATTCTTTCTTTCTTGTTTATAACATACGAGGGGTTGGGGGAAGAGGAATTTTCTGTTATAATCAGGCGCAGTTTTCCCACAGATTTTCATGAGATGGCATCTTGATGGAGACAGCAGCATATGTCCCAGTAGCTTCATAGTTGAACAGGAAAAAAAAAAATTGAAAAAGAACCCCAAAACATGCTTATTCACAGTCTATATTCTTCTGCAAATGGGAGAGAAATGTGCTGAATGATATGGTGCCTGGGATTTTACGCTGTCTTTAAAAAGAACGAAAACATCCTCAATTCATACCAAACATTTGAGATTTATGTTAATTTTCTGCTTTAATTACTACTATGTTTGAAAGAGCTTATTTAAAAAACAAAGACACTCTGAGGTAGCTTTAAAACAAGAAAGGGTTTTGAAATAGAAACTTTTAGTCAATTTAATGTGATGCATGAAATGATGTTTTTTATATAGACTTAATTGTATTGTGACACAAGTTCTTCAATAAGCCGCAGCTTAAAATTGCAGAAACCATCCCTCAGGGACACGTCACGAGGAGATGCAGATTGCCAAGGTCAATTAAACTGATGTAGCTGTGCTGTCACATGTGTAGAAGAGAAACCCACAAGGACATGACAAGTATATTTCTCAGTATTTATAAAAGAATGTCAAGTATGTTATATTTTAGTATATAAATATAATTCTTCATAAACAATACAACAGTAATCATAATGAAGGATTATTATGAAGAGTTTGAGATGTTACAAAATGATGGGGGAGGAATAAAAATTTCAAAATTTATAATAAAATGATATCTTGAAAACATAGATGAATTCCTCTACTTGCTTGTTGTTTAATTTTACATAACCTGTCGGCCATTAGGACCAAAGCACAATGAAATAAAAGGGCGAGCTGAGGCAATGTTAGTAGATAAGAGCTGAAAGCAAAATCTCAGCAAGAGCAAATAAATTCTAATTACAGGGCCAGGATATTAGAGATCCTTTAGAATAATCTAGGGTAAGGTAGGGACAGAACCAGAGAATGCCTTCAACTAAGAATAATCAAGTCCGGATGGCATGTTTTATTGTAAATTAAACTTATTGGGGTGACACTGGTTAATAAAATTATATAGGTTTCAAGTGTACAATTCAATAATACATCATCCGTATATTGCAGTGTGTGTTCACCACCCAAAGTCAAGACTCCTTCTGTCACCGTATGTTTGATGCCCTTTACCCTTACCTACCTCCCTTCTTCCCCCTTTCCCTCTGGTAAACACTAAACTGTTGTCTGTGTCTAGGAGTTT